CTCACACTCCAAACTCTCATGCCAAGCTCATATAATCTCAGATCAACATCAGCAAGTCATCTCCAACTCATCTAGAGCAAGCAACATCCTTACTCATTACTGGTAGCTTCAATCTCAAGTCGTGTTCTTCCATATTCTTCCTCTCCCTCCCATAAACACATACAGAGATAGCAAGCATCACCACTCACCTCTGGAACCCTTCGATTTCAAGCTCTGTTATTCCATTTCTTCCCTTTTTTCTCTTTAGGTAAGCCACTCAAGAGCTTGACAAAGCTTTCCTCAAGCTGCTGGAAATCTACTCAAGCCACACATTTTTTTCTCTCTCTCTCTCTCTCTCTCTCTCTCTTTCTCTCTCTAAAAAGCTCCATCCCATATCTTAAAGACCTAACCTCTCATGCCAAGTCTAGTAGTATCTTAATTCACAAAGCAAACTCTCATGCCAAGTCTGTGTAACATCAATACATCATCTTCGACTCTTCGTCAAGCTGCCGGAAACATCCGCACAAAGCATGCAGTTGCTGGAAGAAGAACAAAGTACTCCCCTGAGACTTGCTTCTCCCTCGGGATACTTTGGGCATAATTCTCGCTAACTCAGAAAATGGGCAACGAAAGCTTAATTCACCACTCTATGGCGGTCCAAGAATCAACAAGCCTGAATGAGCCTTCCAATGAAAAAAGACCCCAACAATAGGTTTATCGATTAGGTCTTAAGCAACAAGACCATATATAAAACCAACAAAATTGTATGCGATGTTAGAGGAACCAATAATCAAGCCATCCTGTTCACATGGCATGAGTACCAGACTACTACCAAAGGATTGCTTGATATCTGCAACAGATGTAGACATCCCAGCACAATAGACTATACACCTAAAAACAAGGAATTCAAAACCAAGAACAAACGAACCAGGCCCCAAATAATGGGAATGGTCACAACGATGGCAGACGGGGGGAGAATGGCTCAGTATCGATACAAAGATTGTAGATGAGGACGAATAGGAAGAATGGAGGCGAGGAGACGCACCCTATGAGTAAGAGTGTAACTGAACGCAATTGGCGATGAGGCTGAAAGTGTTAACCACTGATTATGAGAAGACGACCTCACGAGAGAGAGAAGGCTACATGGATTGATCGGGATAGGACGGCAGCTGACCACAAGACGAAACCCTAGATAAGACTCGTGGCTCTCCTCGTGGAGAGTGACCCAACAAATATGAGACTTGTTGCAACATCTCTCTATTTTCTCTTCAAAGTATTCTCTGCAAAAGAGTGAGGAAAAAAAACGTCACCATGTCATTTGAATTCGTATAACAAAACCAAATAAATTTTATCGAACACCTACCCTGCGAGTAAACACCTACCCTGTTCTTGGAGTTGCAGCAACTGTTGTTCTCCCCTTCTCTTGCTTGTTTTCTTGCATGATCGGATTTTTTTTATTTTATTTTATTTTATTATGCGTGCTCTCCCCTTCTTCTTCGGCTTATTTATTTATTTTGTTGATTGTTTACAATAATACCCTTCGGAAATGTTAAATATAAATTTCATGTATCTTGAGATTTTTTTTGTTTTGGGGATGTTTTTGTTTTTTTGTGTGAAACCAGTGATCCTAACTGCTTTTTGCCTGACTTTATTGTAGTAGAGGTAGATATATATGAACTACCTTTATTTTTCTGAAGTAAGGCACATATCTTCAGTTGAAATTTACAAGAAACAATCAATAATTTTGAATTATTCATATTGGGATTTTTTTGTTTGTTTGTTTTGTACAAGAAACAATCAATAATTTTGAATTATTCATATTGGGATATTTTTGTTTGTTTGTTTTGTTTTTGGAAAGCAGAAAGGAACGAATGTTTTTAACAGCCAGAAGATGATCCATGAAGGTCATTAGCCTCTAAAGTGGTAGGAATCCCTTACTTAATGAAAGAGTTAACTCCTACGTGAATAAAGCAGATACAGATTCTTGCCCTACATGAACAGAAGAAAAGCCAGTCAAATTTGGAGTTTGGAAGGAGTTCATAATGATAAAGAGCAATGTGGACGAATATCTGCTTTATGATAGAGACCAATTTCTCTTTTGCTTTTCTCTCTCCAACATCGATCTAATCTTCTCCAGTACAAAATTGCTCCACCGTCAAACTTTATTCCAAAGCCATATGATATAACCTCCCTTTTCGGGTCAGTTCTTCAATTTCTTTATGATTTTAAATTTGTAAGAGAATAACCCAAAAAAGGAGGCAAAACAATTTAGAAACAGAGAAGCAAAGCTAGATATAAGTGTGACTTACGTTCACTTAAAAAAGGAAAGTAGACAATATGAGCAATGTGAATGAATGGGGATGTGTTTTCTCACATTGAAAGGGCCTGCAGGCTTCATCCTTCCTTAAACATCTTATCTTAGGTTTCTTAAATATATTCCATTCAAAATAAGAGCCTGCAACGACAATCTGGATCATCCTGCAGGTGGGTTTCTCCTACAAAATTGACCATTTACACGTCTGTTTGTGTGCGTAAGAGCTCTCGATCTTCCTCTCTTTTCATCATTGAAATCTAGATATTTTTAATTAAATCCTGGTTTCTTATGCAGGAATAAACAAAATGTCAGTCATCTATGCGTATACTGAAATAATTAATTTGAGTTCCTTTTTTGTAGGATTTAGGGTTTATGCGGAAAGAATTAAAAAAAAATAGAAAATTAGATATTAACTCAAAAGTTCAAACATTCAATGGGAAAAATCACGGGTGTTTTGGGATCAATTTAGGCCCATATTTTGGGTTTATATCAAAATTTGAATTAATGACCATGATGATGTGTCAATTGATTTTTCTCGCTAGATAGGTTGATTTTTCTCAATGCCCGTTTTACCCCTTTTTTTTTGTCAAAATGCCCGTTTTACCCCTAATAATATATCTTTGTTATGTATTTTTACCCCCCCAAAAAAAAACTTTATCCATTCATTGTGAAATTAATTGCACAATAACCCTTTATAATACAAACCTACACTTTTTCTTTCCCCAAAGTCTCTCACACCCTTCGACCAAAAAAAACTCTACAACACCTAAATTCAAATTTCTTCTCATTCGACACTTGGCCTCGACGATGGTGGTTCATTTTTGTTTTTTTGCCCATTTGTGTACGTAGGTAGTAGGGGGAATAATTCGTGAGTTTATGTAACTACGTACCTACCACATAGTTTCAAGTGTTGAGTTAGGACTTGTTTGGAAGTGATTTTAGATAGACCAAGAATCACTTCTACGAAGAATCACTTCTCCATATAATCATTTTAAGTGATTTGAAGTGATTTTGTGAAAAAACACATGGGAGGTATTTCTCTCCAGAATCACTAAAAGTGATCATATGGAGAATTACGTGGAAGATGCTTCTCCCCATAAGTGATTTTGGATGGCCAAAATCACTTCTAAATGAGCCCTTAGTCTACCGATCAAAGAGGAATGATTCGTGAGTTTTCTGTAGTCTTCCTATTAATAATATAACACAATTTTATATGTCTAAGCATACATTTTATTTATAATTAATGTTCATTTCTTCATGACCTTTTGGTTAGGTAAATTATATGTGCATTTTACCTATAATGTTGATTTTTTTATTTGATGTATATGAGTTAAATTTTTTAATTATGTTCAATAGTCAAGTTCAAAATTTGAGAGTAACAATGCCTTAAATTGTAAACGTAATGTGAGAGAGCTTTAGAGAGAGGCTCCCCCTTCTCATTCAGATTTTGGGAAGTATACTTGATTTTATTTTAGGATTAATTAATGCCCCATGAAATTACGGTCAAATTTTACATTGCTACCCCCCCCTCTTAACACAAAAAAAAAAAAAAAAAAAAAAAACTTAAAATGGCCCACTTTCCCCCCTTGACCAAGGTTTGGTGACTCATTTTGCCCTCACTGTCAACTCCATCCAAAACTTTGTTAAATATGATGACCAAGGATTCTCCTCATCGTCACTCTTATTTTCCTAAATACTCTAGCACAAAAAATAAAAAATAAAAACTAAAATTGAAATGATTATCGAACGGCCCTAAACTTTTAAGAATCTCATGGTTCGAAGTATTAGGTGGTGGAGGAAGCAGATAAATTAGATTTAGAGGTATTATTCACATGGAAGTTTCTGTATGGTTCCGATTTTGGTCGTACTTGAATTTAGGGACATTTTGGAAAAAACTAAAGGAGAGAGAAAAATTTTAAAAGAAGCAAAAATGGACAAAAATGCCCTTATTTATTTTTAGATTTTCTAAGTAATCCAATACATTTGCATGTCTTTGATTTGAAAGTTGAGTGGTTTTTTTGTCTTTTTTGAAAAAGCTTTGGCTTTTTCCAAAAGTGAAATTTTTTTTATGTCTAAAACCTAAAAAAACCTTGAATTTATTGACATTTTTTTTGTCCTATATGTAACTACAAGAAAACCATTTGTTTCAAAAATTGTTTCACTCTTATATTGTTTGGGGAAAGATTTAGAACATTTACCTTCCCGCATGCATGGAGAATTAGGATTGATTTCTCCGCAAGGACCGTGGATCATAAACTGACTGACAATATCATAAAGAACATAATCCACAGTCTTATCCGGTAATTAAGCAGAAATGATGGAGTCTATATCAACTGCTGAAAAACATTTATAACTTCGCTTCAACCAAATCAACATGTGTGCATGTGGCAATCCTCTTTTCTGGAATTCGACTGTACAAACTTCTGTTGTTGATTGGGGGAGAAAACCAAAAAATACCTAGTCAGTTTTATCATCTTAAAAAATGATAAAATTGGGAACACCAGAAATTACGGGTTTTTAAAATTCACCTGCCTCAACTTCTCCAAATGGTTTTCCTGATTTGATATAACTAATCATATCATCAAGCTTCATTTTAAATAATCTCGAAACTATATCAGGCCTATCTTCCGGTTTGTATCCAAGTTTTGCATCAAACTCTCTTACGATTTCAGGCCATTTGACATTGCAAGTGAAAGTTATGAACAAATCAGGATGTCCAAATTGTCTACAAATTGCCATAGCATCTTGATAATTATTAAGCATGTATCTAGCACTTCCAGTATATGAGCTAGGCAATATGACTCTTTGGCCTATGTTATTGGCATCATTGTCACCATTTGAAATTGCATCATAAATGCCTTTATAAACCTCACTCCTTAAATTTTTTTGATTTTTTCTAATGTAATCCAATCGATCCTCTTCAAGTGCAGCATAAGCGTCCACTAAAAATTGTTGGAACAATCTTCCGCCTTTTAATAACGTGTCCAGTTGAAGCATCCTTTCTTGTATTTGATAAGCTATAAAGGCTCTCATGGGAATTCTTCCTCTTTTAGATTCATGACCTCTACAACCATTGTTCCATTTCAAATTAGTTGTGTATCCATCTTCACCATAAGGAAAAAGAATAGGATATTGCAAAGACATGAATTTTGGATTTAATTTTGTGACACGTTTTAACCCTCCATCTTTAAACTCTATAACAATATCTCTATTCGAATCATAAAGGCCTATATCTCCCACTATCAAACCGCCAATTTCATCACATGTTGGCTGTTCATATTGTCTATTATCATTTGGTTGCCTGCCTAACAATGTAATTTTTAAAGGAGCGAGAGAACCTTCTTCAAATTTATCTCTGACTGTTCGAAAATTTTTAACCAATTCATTTGATTCATCAAACATTTGAATCAAACCTTGCACAATGCTCTGATCAAGCTTTTCATTCTTTTGGTTACAATTAACTGCATCAAGGCGATTCATTACCTCATTATGAGTATCATATATATAAAGCTGGGCAAATTTTGGAGATTGACCCTCAGGAGGCAGCAAAGAGCCCATTAAATGATGAACTTGACCACTAATTTTAAAAATGTAAGGGCTTGATCCATTGTTAATTGATTGATCAACTTTGGCTCCCATTGAAGTAAATGCAAACATAGAATTATAGACCCTGATATTCTCTCTGAACAATACACTTTTGTGGCCTTTATTTGGATCAAGCAAATTTTCTAAAAAAAAGGGCGTTGGTTTTGGCATTTGAAGTTTGATCTTTCCCTGTTGGCAACAAAGAGTAAAAAGAGGCTTATTGTTTTTCAACTTTTGCTTAATGGATTCTTTTAACCAAAAAAGTGCACCACAGTAAATGCACTTATAATTCTTGTCTCCGAAATCCGCATATCCTTGAATGATTCCTATAAGAAAAAAGATGCAGAATAGGGAGAATAGAAGACACAAATGGAGGCTATCAGGAATAGAACTATAGTTCAAATTTATAAGAAATTTTAAGTGAAGGTTTTAAGCAAAGGAAAAAACCCACCCTGCCTGTTTCTCTGAAAGAAGGCCTGGCCCTTACTGACTCCATCAAAATGGCCAAATTCGATCTGATTTGCAGTTGTTTGAATTGCATCCATATTGCTGGATGACATATTTTCAACACTTTTTTGTTTTTTGTTATGGGTGTGAGGAATATTTTTATGGCTGGTGGGAGAATTTTTTTCGGCCGAATGCTTATTTTGATCATCTGGATGATACACATTTCGAGTAGGAAATTCTGTGTCTGCTGAAATGCTAGCACCACACCCTTGTTGCATGACGAAACTTTCTTTGGTGGATGTAGGGCTTTCAGGCAACATATGAGTTCGAGGATTGTTTCTGCGACTTTTTCTACAATTTTGTTTCGCTTGATGGCCATGCTTATCACCAATATGTTCAACATTTTCATACACACAAACACATATATGTTATAGTTGTGGTTCATTAGGCACAAATAACTTGAGTTCAATTAATTAGCACCACAATAAATAAGTCGATAATCTGAAGCTAACGTTAATCTATTCATGTTTACAATTGAGGCTGAAGTAGAAATCATCCTTAATAGATAACGCCTACAGAGTCACATAAAATACTCTCATATGCAGACAATCATATGAGAGTTTAGATCATGAGATGCAAGTCAAATTCAAATTTTATTTTACGCATGAAAATTAATGCATGCATACATTATTTTGGAGCAAAGATGTCTAAAGCAACAAATTGATGACTGGAAAGACCCAAAAAAAAAAAAGAAGGCATAAATAAAATTTTAGATTATCAGTCACACCTAAATTGTAATTAAGTGAAACAAATGCACAATGATCATGACAGAACCATGTAAATGAGAATTTTCAAATAGCATAATGTGACAATTAATCAACTACAGGTGCTATACAGAGTCTTTTAAAAAATGGACAAAACACTAACCTGTAATGCGAGAAACTATCAAGCACTTGCAAAAACAGGTACACAAAAGCAGGATAACAGCAGCTATCTAAAATACAAAGACAAAAAATATATATGTGTCAAAACAACAAAGAACCAAAAACTTGAATATTTGTTTGATAAATATAATTTCTGTTTTCCATGTGAGATAAGACAGAGTCTCAATTAATTAATCCATTGCAACACTGTTTTAGATATGAAGGAATATAAAAAATATGGACCCCAAGAGAATCACTTCATTTGTTACACTCATACAAACAAATGGAAACATGAAAATATGAGGATATGAAGCAAAGACTGGTTTATTTTCAAATTCATTCAGAGGAAAATGACATCTTAATTGTGAGTAAAGACAGTTCCTACATCTCTTTGTCCTTGTGTCATTAAGTTCTAATTCATGAAAATTATCTATCAGCCTCAGCATGTAGAATGCAAGACAGCAGTCTGCTTATATACCAAAAAACAAATAGACACACAAACACATATATATTATAGTTGTGGTTCATTAGGCACAAATAACTTGAGTGTAATTAATTAGCGCCACAATAAATAAGTCGATAATCTGAAGCTAACGTTAATCTATTCATGTTTACAATTGAGGCTAAAGTAGAAATCATCCTTAATAGATAATGCCCACAGAGTCACATAAAATAGACTCTCATATGCGGACAACCATATGAGAGTTTAGATCATGAGATGCAAGTCAAATTCAAATTTTATTTTACGCCATGAAATTTAATGCATGCATACATTATTTTGGAGCAAAGATGTCTTGAATATTGATTTTCTTTTCTAAAGAGAAACGATATATTGAAAAGGTGGATAAGGCATCTGCAACCAAACAGACAAAACACAGAAACAACCCAAAAAGGCCAAATGAAAGAAAAATAAAAGAAGTGTCATCAACAATTATTCAATTATGAACAGAGATTGCGAAAAATCAAACTTGTTTTCTACTTTTCCTAAGCAAATCAGTTGAAAATAAAATATCAGAAGCAAGATTGGTACCTGAGCACCAGTAGATTTTTGTTTTCCATGTGAGATAAGACAGTCTCAATTAATTAAATTCATTGCAACACAGTTTTGGATAGGAAGGAATATAAAAAAATATGGACCCCAACAAAATCACCTCCTCTGTTACACTCATACAAACAAATGGAAACATGAAAATATGAGGATATGAAGCAAAGACTGGTTTATTTTCAAATTCATTCAGAGGACGGTGACATCTTAATTGTGAGTAAAGACAGTTCCTACAACTCTTTGTCCTTGTGTCATTAAGTTCTAATTCATGAAAATTATCTATCAGCCTCAGCATGTAGAATGCAAGACAGCGGTCTGCTTATATACCAAAAAACAAATAGACACACAAACACATATATGTTATAGTTGTGGTTCATTAGGCACAAATAACTTGAGTTCAATTAATTAGCACCACAATAAATAAGTCGATAATCTGAAGCTAACGTTAATCTATTCATGTTTACAATTGAGGCTGAAGTAGAAATCATCCTTAATAGATAACGCCTACAGAGTCACATAAAATACTCTCATATGCAGACAATCATATGAGAGTTTAGATCATGAGATGCAAGTCAAATTCAAATTTTATTTTACGCATGAAAATTAATGCATGCATACATTATTTTGGAGCAAAGATGTCTTGAATATTGATTTTCTTTTCTAAAGAGAAACGATATATTGAAAAGGTGGATAAGGCATCTGCAACCAAACAGACAAAACACAGAAACAACCCAAAAAGGCCAAATGAAAGAAAAATAAAAGAAGTGTCATCAACAATTATTCAATTATGAACAGAGATTGCGAAAAATCAAACTTGTTTTCTACTTTTCCTAAGCAAATCAGTTGAAAATAAAATATCAGAAGCAAGATTGGTCTCTAGGCATTTCAATTATCATCACATCTTATACTTCGGATTCAAGCATGGTATAAACAGTAACTGAGAACAAAAACAAAATTTTTATTGATACTTAACCGATGAGACATTCCTAGCATACATTAAACCTAGCTATTTTGACACACCAATAGACTTCAAAATCAAATATGAAATGCAAAACCGAAACAATACATGGGAATTTCAACATAGAAACACACCTCTTAATTAACAGAACAAAAAACAACCACCAAACAGCTCTATCTAAAGCAGCAGAACACCACCTACAAAACATCAAAAGCAAACATTAAAGGTTCTTGTCCTCTAGTATGAGTTGAAATTAAAATCCCACAAATACAAATTTAAAAGTGTGCATTAAACTATGTTAAAGGTTGGAGAAAGAGAATCAAATCCACTTCTACATTTAATTTTTAATTTTTCAATCTATACTCCATACACACAGAACTTAATAATTAGAAATTAGAGTACAGAATCAGAAGTTGGTGCTGCCCATGGGTCCAGCTGTACTCTTTTGGGTTAGAGAGAGAGAGAGAAAAGACTGTAAATAAGTCTTTTACAGAGAG